GGTGCTTGGGTATTGCTCCCAGTCATGCCCAGGGCACCACACAATGTTGGGGATCAAACTCACATCTCCCACATGCAGGTCATGTGCTCAGGCCCTTTGCATCATCTCTCCAGCCAGAATATGCTTGTAAAAACTTGTTCTTCTGTGAGCAGTTTCTCTTAGAAATTGGGTTTCTTCTCATGGCTGTCCTCTCCCTTCAAGCATTCTTGAAATATTAAAATGAAAGCACCGCATATGGGAATCACTGAAAACACCCATTCTGAGCATGTTCACAGCAGTTACCATACCTGCACAGCGTTCTTTTATAAAACACAAATGTTTGAAGACCTTGAATGAATCCCTATAGATGCATTTAACATGTGTGGATGGGTGTTTCCACCAGAAGAAAGGACTGCATTTTACTATTTACTATTAGTATTTCCTGCTGAAGTTTCTTTTGAAACTTAATGTTTGTTTTTGAAGGATGATGTTTGGTTGTGTTCACATTTAAATATCTGGTTCCGGTTAAAGTTAATGGATCAGATCAGACTAGGTAAGTAAGATAGGCACTTTGGGAGGATCATTTGTAGTTTCTCCAGTCTTCTTTAATGAGCTGGAAAAGTAATTTGCAAGGTTTAATGTTGAGGTTGGAAAAACCATATTTTGAACCCCTCCCCCCAATACCTTGCTTGAGACACCATAATTTATTCATCTTATAGAGCCCGGTTCTTTGCTTTCTCTAACAACCATTTTGATCTCTTGAATATGCTGTTGTTTCATCAGAAAAAGCAATAAAGATAGATAGTTTTACATTCATAAAATGCATAAATAACTGATGCAGTCAATTCACACTCTAGTTTTAAAAAATATCAGTGTGGGGCAGTTTCTTTTTTTGAGAATTTTAGAATTCGCAGTTACTAAAAATGGTTCATTAAAAATAACAGGTGACCATTGTGTCATGGGAAAAGAACATATAGAAGTTGTTAGTGCCTAAAATATTCCTGGGAGTTCTTAAATTTTTCCCAAGGAAAATCATGATGTTGTTATATTATTGCCATTTCCAAAAGATATCCTTTTGAATGATTTTTTGCAGAAAGAGTATCCCAGATGGTGGTGAGGAGACCTAAAGGTCTCTACCAGAGATTTTCATCCAACCAAGCTGGCAGATTTCATGCGAGGGTCTAGGGTGTGGTGCTGCTCTTCACTTTGGTCCTGAGTATTTCCACCATGATACCCAGAGGTGCTAGGATTTTGGGGTTGGGGCTCCACTTCTTGAGGCTCAGGGGACTTTGTAGTGCCAGGGATCAAACCAGATCAGCTACATGAGGTGTATAGATTTTTTTCAATTGAATCACTGTGAGATACATAGTTATAAAGTTGTTCATGATTGAGTTTCAGTCATGCAATGTTCCAGCATTTGTCCTTTCGCCTGTGTACATTTTCCACAGTAATAATCACTCCCTGTCCCACCCCCCAGCCTGCATCTATGACAGGCACCTCTTCCTCTTCCTCTTTCTCTTCCTCCTCCTCCTCCTCCTCCTCCTCCTCTTCCTTCTTCTTCTTCTCTTTCTCCCTCTTCCCCTTTCTCTCTTCCTTTCCTTTTGAGAATTACATTTTGCAATGCAGGCACTGTAAGGTTATCATTTACCTTATTTATCTCCTTGGAGCACTCGGTTCTTGTCCAGAGTAATCATTTCCAACTCTTATTGTCATATTGATCACTTCTTTATCCTAACTGTTCTCCTACACCCCGCCCCCTGACTTATAACAAGCTTCAAACCATGGCCTGTCCTTCTGGCTTTCGTTTCTACCCTGCTTGGGTATTAGTTTCCTACTATTTTTTCATATCCCATAAATGAGACTAGTCAGTCTTTCGGTCTAATCAGCAGTGCATAGTTCTTAACGCCTGTACTTTCTCTCCAGTCCCCTTTTGGCAAGCTTAAAAGTTGGTGAATCTGCCATCTTTTTGCAGCCTGAGTTTCAATGAGGGCCCAGCATCTGCCCTGTACCATGCTAAGCAAATTAAGCATACTGACCCATTCAGAATACTTTGGTCTCCACTGTACCATTCTGAATTATGTGCTATTACGGGCTGTAATGCATGCTTTCTTTGCAAGCTCCTTAAACCTTATACACATTGAAATTCATTTTATCTTCACAACAATACTATGATATAAGTACTCTTATTTCTCCATTTTTCAGGTTAAGAGACTGAAATTCAAAGAGACGAGCTAACTTGCCAAAGATTTCATACTTAGTAAATTGCAGAGTTGTGACTTGTTTAAACACTTCTAGCTCCAAAAACAATACTCTTTGGATTTGGACCAAAGTTGGTGGTGCTCAGGACCCACTACTGGCTTTATGCTCAGGGATCATTCCTCTGATGCTCAGAGAATCATACTCTGGTGCTAGGTTTCTGTGGTCAGCCACATGCAAGGCAAGTGCCCTGTATTTCTCTCCAGGTCCCAGTGTCAGTATGCTTAACTACATTTGTTTATGATAATATTTTTAGCTTTGGGGCAAGGAGACTAGTAGTTTACAGAATTACTCACCCAAAATCACATGGGCAATAAATATTGGAGCATGGACTCCGAATTAGGAAGCTTATGAAACTATACAAACTATGGGGTTCATCCCCTCCACCCCCCGCCCCTGAGCATCTTCTTTTATCATGCATTTCGAAAGCCACACATGCTTGCTTCCAGCCTCAAATCAGCTTGCACTGTGGCACTTAAGAAAGGTTAATGATCAGGCTAGGAAGAGGAGAAATTTGTTCTATCATTTATTTAGCTTACTGCCAAGCATCCTTTAATTCCAAACAGATCTTCGATAGTGCTTTATTAGGATACTGTTGAATCTTCACTGAATTAATTATCAGTGTCAGAGAAGATCTTCTTAACCTCATCTACAGCCGTATTTCTTAATCTTTAATGAGATTAGGAAACTTACCTGACAATCTTGTTAAAATGCAGATTGTGATTCAGTGGTTCCAGGCTGAGCTGCTACTCCACTCTGCATTTCTAGCAAGTTTCCGGCGGCTGCTGGCACAGGATCTAGGCTTTGTGTAAAAAGGTGCAAGCACTGAATTTCCCCAAACTGAATGTCAAGCTTGATTCCAGGGTCTGGGGCTCAGATCGAAAGAAGGATGTTTTTCTTGATAAAATATTTATGGCGTTTGGGAGGATCAGCTTCCAGAAGAAGGGAAGGGTCCCATGAGTAGAGAGCTGAACTATATAGATGCTCTGGGTTGGATGGAACTTTAAAGGTTGTTGGGTTGAATCATCCAGCTTATGTTTTCAGCCTTTCAAGTCCTTCCCATATTATCTCAGCCCTGGATTTAAAGAATTACCTGTGGTGAATGGAATGTGACATTCGATAGAGCCAGAAAATTTCAAGATGGACCCCAAATCACAGAGATGTGTATCAGACTTGTCCAGACAGACATTTTCCCCATAGTGCACGTTCAGGACCCTTAGGTAGTGATTCAAAAACTTCCAGATCTTACCATTTCATAGTATTGTAGCACTGTCCTCCCGTTGTTCATCGAGTTTCTCGAGCAGGCACCAGTAACGTCTCACAACAAATTGTGAGACTTGTTACTGTGTTTGGCATATTGAATACATCATGGGTAGCTTGCCAGACTTTGCTGTGCGGGCAAGATACTCTTGGTAGCTTGCCGGGCTCCCCGAGAGGGGCAGAGGAATTGAACTCAGGTTGGCCATGTTGGCCATGTGCAAGGCAAACGCCTTACCCACTGTGCTATCGCTATACTTACTTTCCATTTCATAATACTTAAAAAAATGAAAATAACACAGGGCTGGAGAGAGGGTAGAGTGGGTATGTTGTTTGCCTGGCATGTGACCGATCCAGTTGGCCCTCAACATTGCATATGGTCCCAGGAATACCACCAGGAGTAATTCCTGAGTGCAGAGCCAGAGTAACTTCTGGGCAGCAGAAAAGAAAGAAACATAAAAATCAAACAAATGCACTCTAACAGAGAACCCGCTTGGAATCCTTCCCCCACCCCACCCCCATGTCTATGTCTCCCATTGTGAAATAAATATTTCAGTGCTCACTGTCAGGAAGAGACAAGAACAGATGCTTGGGAGCCTAAGTGCTTCATGGCACTACGCACAAAGGCCGTTGGGAAAGCATACGTCCAGTGCAGGATTCCTGAGACCTTATTGCTTTCCTCCTATTTTGAGTTTACAACCTGAAGCAAAGACTGTTGATTTTTTTATTGGGGTAAGAATGGTTATCCATTTCACTATGCGTTAATCCACGCCACCATGCCTGCCCGGAGGGGAATGGGTGTTGCCCCCTTCTGCCTTCTCCCCTCTGGAAAGAAAGATGGCGGCCGCATGGGAGCCTTGTGGAGAGCAGGTATGAGCCGGGGGTGGTGGGGCTATCAAAACCTCATGGGAAGGGGGGCATTCCACCCATCCTTCACGCTCTACTGATGTCACCAGTTGCCCCCCACGAACGGCTCTCCGGCATGGCCATGACTCCAGAGCACAGAAACCAATCTCTTAATTATCTGACTCTCAGCAGAAATACTTCCAGGGTTAATAAGTAAAATAGCAGAAATCCAAAATAGCAGACATCATTTAATTCTTGAACCCATCTGTAGAAAGCAAATCATTTCACAATGCCTTTTCAGCATGTCTGATTTGGGGGGGGGGGGGGTAAACTCTAAATAATAATGGTGCATCTTTTATTGAAACAATGAATCTAGTCAAAGTAGATAGAGTGTTAACTAGAATTCATCTGCCTCACAGGAATTGGGGGAGGTGGGGGGTGGGGGTTTATTGGGGTTCTTCGTGGTGAAAAATAAGTATTGGTAAAGGGAAATGTGTTTGATATTTGCATGACCGAGACCTAAACCTGAAAGCTTTGTAACTTTTCCCATAGTGATTCAATATTCAATAAATAAATAAATTATAAAAAAATAAAAGAATGGGTATCCATTTCTCTGTTCTAATCACCCTTTTCCTCAGACAGCTTTCTTCTTTCTGTTTCAGGTTTCTGGGGAGAATGAGAAACAGTGGAAGCCAACCCTGATTGTACTGACGGAGAAGGACCTCTTAATCTATGACAGTATGCCGCGGAGAAAGGAAGCCTGGTTCAGCCCCGTGCACACATATCCTCTTCTTGCCACCAGGTACTCATGGCCTGTATTTGATGTATCTGCAGTTTGAAACCCTTTTGGCCCACTGCAATGATTTCCACAGATTGTGTGACTGTTTTCTGTAACAATGGTGCTCACGTCCTCCTTCGGAATCAAGCTGCACAACTTTAGCTGAGAGACTAATGAGCTTTTATAGCCAAACATGACTCAGTACATGAGGACCGAGCCCTTTATCCATCAGGAAAGAGTGGTGGAATCTCTGAATTGGTTCCTGCACTTTCCTGGATCTCCATCTCATTTTCTTTAAGATGAACTGTGTGAAGTTCAGGCAGAACCAAGGCAGGACCACAAAGAGACACACAACAAATTGTCCCATGGTGTATTTCTCTGCAATGGCTCACTCAGCATTAGAGATGCCATGACCATGCCTTCCTCAGTTGTGATGGTTCTTAGGGAAGTGAGCTCGTGTCACAGGATCTTCAATGCTCGATTAGTGTTCATGTGATAACTTGTCTTACTGTGGCTTAATTGCTGCTGCTGGGAAGGTGCTTAAAAGTGCTTCTTTGGGGCTGGAGTGATAGCACAGTGAGTAGAGCGTTTGCTTTGTACGCCGTTGACCCAGATTCGATTCTTCAGCGTCCCATATGGTCCCCTGAACACCACCAGGAGTAATTCCTGGGTGCATGAGCCAGGAATAATCCCTGTGCAATGCTGGGTATAACCCAAAAAGAAAAAAAAAGTCTCTGAATCCGAAAGTAGATTACACCCTGGTGATGCTCAGGGGACCATATGAGATGCTGGGAATCTAACCCGGTCGGCCGCATGCAAGGCAAATGCCCTGCCTGCTGTACTATCACTCCAGCACTCACCCACCATCTCCCTCTTGCAGAGCCCTCAACCCCCGAAGGCACTTAGACTGCCACTGTCCCCAAAGCCCACTGGCCACTTTAGACTTAGTCACTATTTTCTTCTTTTAAAAAAAAAATTTAGGCATTGGTATTCATAAACTTATTGACAATAAAGATTCAGGTCTACAATATTCCGACTCTAATTCCACCGCTAGTGCTAACATTCCCCCCAGTAGTAACTCCAGCTTCCCTCCAATCCATCTAGCTTCCTCACTGGTAGATTGTCCCCACCTGCTGACTGGGGAGAGAGGAGCTTTGAGTGTTCCTTAGTGAAAAGACTCTCACACCATCTGACCAGGGGCCCACTCATATGGTTTCAGTGAATCTTTATTGACCTGTGTACAGACTTTCGCTCCAAATTGGGAGTTAGGGCTCCAGCATAAGATGTGGGAGTGGGAAGCAGAATTCAGCCCAGAGCAGAAACATCTGAATATCTTGCTTAGCTTAGTATCTGGCGTGTAACTGGACGGGCCACTGTCTGGGACTGGTGCCAGGCGGAAACAGATTTCTCTTAATTGAGTTACTCTCACAGACAGTCCATATTTGATTCGTTCCTTCAGCCCAGACATGACCAGTTTCTGTGTTTCTGGAAGAAGAAAATTTGATTGTGTTTCCTAGCATGAGATCAGAAATTCTCCTAGATGCTTGAGGTATGCGCTGCCATGCCCAGGAGCCGGGAGTATGCACCGCTCCCATGGCCAAACCCTCACGCCCTCTCTGGCCTCCGAGGTACCGTATATAGCAGTGCACTCTGGTAGTTTGCAAACATGGTATGATTTTAGCTATTTCATTCCTCATCCTCAATTATTTAACAAGTCCTTTGGAATACTATTTTTGTTTGTTTATTTGTTTGTTTTTGGCTTCGCTGAAGCTTATTTGATGTTGCAGAACATTCCAAGAGAAGAAAGAAAGTAGAAGGTTCTCTTTCCTATATGGAGAAATAATGTTTAGTTGTTGTTGCTGTTGCTGCTGCTGCTGTCTTCAGTAACCGACAAGTGAGCTATGCTTACAGAAAGGGAGAATTGAGGTCAGGGTACTTCTGGAATCCAAGAGAAGGTTTAACCCAGCAATCTTAGCATAGTCCCGTGAGGGGTGGCAAAAAGCACCGAGCCCGTGAAAAGAGACTGACACTGTTTGGGGCTTAGTTCGCTGATGTGTGGGCTTGCAGGAGACCTGGGACAGCAATGAAAGATGTTGCTGTTTCAGGAATAGACGCTTCTCCCCTCCAACACCACTTGGGAGCCAGAGACAGCATTTTTCCTCGACATATCGGGTCATCTCTGGATGCCAAAGGAACTAACCTGCTTCTAAGTGCTAAAAGCAGTTGCTGCCTCAGGCCAAGCTCAGAAATGTTCGGAATGCTTTCCATGGGGCCTGGGCTGGTTCCCTTAGGCACAGAGGACTTAGAGTCTGCCAGTGGTTTTCATACTTAGTCTGGGGCCTCCTTGCTCTTAGGGCCTCAGGCAGCCCCTGGTGAAGTGCAAAGGAATCTGCACACTCAAGGATCTTTACTTTGTCAAACTGAAAAGCAAAGGGTAGGCGCCGTGTGTGCCCACACCGTCCATCCTATTTGTCCCCATGTTCACACTAGCAGTCTTTGGCCCTCTTCTCCTACCTACCCAGGGGCCCCACATTAATTGGGAGGTTCTCAGTCTGTGAGAAAATCGATGGACTTTAGAATCAGACCAACCAGGCATTGAGCCGTGAGGCCTCTATTGGTGTGTTCTTGGGTAAAATCTCCGTCATTGAACCTGTTTCCTTACCTAGAGGAAAGTGGAAAGAGTGTTCTAGCTCATCATGTTGTTGATAGGACTGTGTCTGTAGATATTAAGTGCACATGATCGAGAATTATGAGCAATGGTTAAGATTGGAGAAAGTAATAAAATGAACATAAGAATGACTGGCAAGTACTTGATGGTGGGAGGGATAAGCAGAAGTGTTTGGGGGCTACTCTCACCTCAGTGCTTGTAACTCACTCCCAGCAGATCTTAGGGTACCCTGCAGTGCTGGGAATGGAGCTCCAGGCTCTTGCATGCAGAGCATGTGCCCAGGCCACTGAGCTAGCTCTCCTGACGTATTTGACTTTCTGCGTGACACAGCTTTTAAGACTCATCTCATAGTGTCTTAACATCATTTAGATAGAATGATTGGGCTAAGAGTAGTTGGTTGTATGTAGGGGAGGGTGGTGTAACAAAGGGAGCACTGGAGTCCGAGGATAGTTCAGTGGGCCAGAGCTCGTGCTTTGTAGGTAAGAAAACAGGGTTCAATCCCCAGCACCGCATAGTCCCCCAAGTACCACAAGGTATATCCGAATACCTCTGAGCACAACTGTGTGTGGCTCTAAAACAAAGAGGATACTGGAATATCTCAACTCACAACCCAAAGCTAGTTTCTGTGCTGGTGTTACTGTAACACTATCACAAGTATTTGGCCTTCTTGTAGTGTCTCTCCCACGGGGCAGGAACATTTCTTTTATGAATCATCTAACTACAAGGGACAGGAGGATTGCTCCATAGTTGGAAGCCTACCTCATGAGCGGAGGGGAGAAGTCAGCTGGAGTGGAGAAGGATTCACTAAGAAAATGATGGCTGGAGGAATCGGTTGGGATGGGAGATGTGTGCTGAAAGTAGATAATGGACCAAGCGTGATGACCTCTCAGTGCCTGTATTGCAAACCATAATGCCCAAAAGTATAGAGAGTATGGGGTATATTTTCTGCCATGGAGACAGGGGGAGGATGGGGAAAGGGGGTATACTGGGGATATTAGTGGTGGGAAATGTGCACTGGTGGAGGGATGGGTGTTTGATCTTTGTGTGATTGTAACCCAAACATGAAAGCTTATAACTATCAATAAAATTTAAAATAATTGATTCAATAATTTTTTTAAATGATTCAATAATTCGGTAGCCTGCCAGGTTGTCCAAAGTCAGAATGAGATAACAAGATATTATCAATGATGGGTCTCATTCTCCTAACCCTGAAAGAGCATTTCTCAGGGGTAGAACGAAGGAGACGTTATTGGTGCCTGTGCGAGGCAATCGACGAACAACAGGGTGATCGTGATTGTGATGATGATTGAATAAAAATTTTTCAAAAAAGGAATCCTCTAATAAGCTTCAGGCGTCTGTTAACAGCAAACAGTGTATGAAGGGAGGGCAAGATGGGAATTTTTTTTTTAAATACAAGAAATAAAAGAGCTAATTATTCCAGTTACTCACTCAGAGTCTCATTTTCTCAGTACAATGGGTCTATTTTTTCGTGGTCATTACCTTACATGAAGAAGGTCTGAAAGTGTTTTATAATGCCTATTTTATATGCATTCTGATATATGTTGAACTAATTTAAGACATAGATGAAATAAGAAAATAAGTAAAAGACAATCAGAAAATTCAAAGAATGCATTAAAAATTTAGAGCTCTGAGATTGCTAAATAATAGAAAGCTTATTAATGTAAAAGAAGAAATTTCTCAAGACATTGGATTATTGGCTGGGACAATTTCCATCAGGCCGTAACTCATGTTTATTACTGGAGAAGTCAAGGGAACAATTAAGTTAAACCCAGGCATAACCTGCAGTTCACTGTACTCTTTCATTTTGATTCTAAAACTGATGTGATGAAATTTTGCCCCTGTTCCTGGTAGCATGGAAATACTAAGGATTTTCTAATCATATGAACCTGGGTTTAAGTTCTGGATACTCTGATCCCAAGCAGCTCTTTATACACAGAACCATGGATTCCTTGTTTACAGAGTAGAGCTTAGAATATCACTTTCTCTAAGAGTCACGGAGGAAATAAAATGAACTAGTGTCTTAGTGTCTCTGTTCACAGCATAGTAAGTATCCACTTCCTTCCTTCGTATTGCTGTTGGCAATGGGCTGTGAAATCATGAGCCATGGAAAATTGATGAAGGACAATCAGTTGTCTTCAAATGCTCCCCAGCACATTGTATTCAACCATTCAGCTGTTGGTAGCTAATGCTAACCTGCTTTGATGCTTTTTCTCCTATATCAAGTTGTTCTTTGCTTATAATAGACTATAAGCCATGGAACCTGGCTGAACTCTTTTACCCCCATATTTGAAGGATAGAGGTCGAGGCCATTGTTCAACTATTCTTCGTTGGGTTC